AGCTTTTCGGTGGTTTTCTACAGGATGCATTTAGGAAAGTGTGCGCAGGAAATTCATAAATTAATTTCTCCCTCTTCCTTACTCCATCGGAATTTGACGAGTCTTCACATTTGCGCTGTCGACTTACCACGCATACGAACCAAACCAAATTCATCGTTCATCATGCGTACTGCAAAGGAATGAAATGTCTTTTCGCCCGATTACAATATGGTTGTCTTCAAATCAAGAATGAATAGACTTTAGTTAAGTCAGTGCTGTCCATTTTCGGCTGCGTCCCCACAGAACGTCAGATACGATAGTAGTCAAGCGTTAGCTTGGAATAATAATTTAAAAAAAAGAAACAAATACAGATAAATGTATTACTAGCGTCCATTAAAATGAAGCGTAATCTAAAATAAAATACACTATGACACAAGTAGTGACAAAAAAAATCTTACGTCCGATAAGAAACTTCGTTCCAAAAACTCTAATTAAAAAAAATCTCCCGAACAAAGCCCAGCTAAGTTGGATCCCTTTTTTTTTTTTTTTTTTTTTTTTTTTTTACATGGGGAAATGCCTACGCATACCCGCCTCGCGGGGGCAAGGACGGGTTATGTCGGACTCGCACCGACTAAAACCCCATGGTGTTCCACCCTCGTCGCATATTGGCAGGGCCACGGGAACGCTTTCGCACACATCCGCGGCCCCACCTGCGCTGGCCGCCCCATGGCGGCCCCTCCTCGGTAGAGGACTACTCCTCCCCCATCTCCCTCTCAGGTAAGGCGCACCAGAACACATGGCGCGCCCTCCTCCTCGGCCTCCAACTTAACATGCGCAACGGACGCCCCCGTGTCCGATGCGCGAAGGCCATGGGGCCAGGAAAAACTAGCACTATGAAGCACCGGCCTTCCCGGCCCCAGCGGCGGATCTGGTCTATGGCTCCGCCGCCAACCAAGATTCGGCTGCGGAGGGTAGGGAGAGCGGCGCATCGCAATACCGACACTCCTCTCCCACCGCAGCCCCACCACCACCGCATCAATCGACGGTACGGCCCCGCCCGAGTCGCGGAGGATAGGGCGAGTGGCGCATCGCCATACCAACACTCCTCTTCCTCCGCGACTCCACCTCGGCTGCAGCGGTAGAGGGTGCGGACTCCCCTCTCACCGCAGCCCCCCGACACACATCCGAAGTGGACTCGCCAAGCCCACTCGGAGCGGCCACCTCGGGCCGGCCCTACAGCACGGGCCAGCCAAGGGGTTCCTCTTTGTTCACCGTGGGTGACCAAGCCACGGCTACTAAGCCCCCCCGCCACGACAAGGCGGGAACCCGTTCGGGGGGGGGAAGTTGGATCCCTCGATTGACCTCTCGGTAGAAGTTGAACTCGTATAACTTTTGTTTTGTCCGTGTGGAGGGACCGCCAGGGACTGATAATGGGTGTATGTTTGTCATCGTTGTCACACTTGACATGCAGGTTGTCAACCGCTGTTCTTTTTCTAGTTGTTATTAAGAAGAGGCCGCTTATTGCCCATTTATTGGTTTGTTTCCCTCTGTCGCCTGTACCAACACTCACGAAACGACGTTAGGTAGTAGACATTTTTACACCGCCACTACATCGTCACCGCTCCACATTTACAATAATTTGCAATTGGGTCCCGTCTGCTACTAAACGTAATGCGGGTATTTAGTGCATTATTTTTAAATTGCCTTTTTAGTCGGGTTTTTGATTTTTTAATTATTAAAATAAATATATTTTAGACTTTTTAGTGTCCCAACTCACTCTTATGAACTAAATCATATGATAGCACGAGATCCGACAAAAACATGGCCCATTTTTACGCTATGAAAAACTTTTTTAAAACAATTTATTATTCCTAATTAAATTTAAACATGTAACTTATATATAGTTTTGCAATTTCGTTTTCCTTTATTTTCTGCCGACTTCCAAAAAGGAGACGTTACTGAATTCGAGTGTATGTTTTTTTTTTATGTGTGTTACCTCATAACTTTGTACTGGTAGAACCGATTTCGATGATTCTCTTTTGTATGATAGTTGATAGTTCTCGTGTAGTTCCATATGAATTTGATCAAGGTCAGACCAGTGGTTATTGAGTTATTCTTAAATAACTTATATTGAAGTCGCTTATATTGAAGTCGGCTGTACAAAATTTTTAATTTTTAATTATTATACCCTACGGTTGTTTAATTTTTTTTTATTAACCTATCACTATTTTGCGCCAAAAATCCGCCATTTTGTTTTTTTTCCAACACCTATCTAAGAACACTTGAGTTTTTCATACGAATAAAACGATACCTTAATTGTCGAATCTAGTCGTTTGGAAGATACGACGTAGTAAAGAAATTTATAAACATACAATATACGCGCGAAAAACATAACCCTCCCTTGGCAGTCGGGTAAAAATACTGGGTCTACAGTTACGTCATTAGGTAGGTAATCTACAAAAGGAATCCTCCTCCTCATTTGATGCAATAGGTGTCGTAGTTGGCTACTAAGGGAGCATAACTAGTATAGAGTTTATATGATATATTATTATCGATATAGCCGTGTATATAATAAAATACCTAGACACAGCGACAGCATTAATCCGCCTACCGCGTCTGAGGATTAAGCCAAATCCTTCCTACAAACGGATGCCTATATAGACTTTTACGGGGTGATGAAAAAGAAAATTTACTCGGCGGAAAGAGCTTAGACGTCGTTTGGGAAACAAGTTGCGTTTACCAAACGCAATATTTCATAAATTAAATACGTCTGTAAAAGTTTAAATGTTTATTTCTTTAATGAAAATGTAGTTCCCAACGAATCACAAAAACGCACATTATAAATTACGTACACTGCTCTTTTTTTTTTCAAAATGAAAAAGTTTTACGTCAGCTGCTTGTTTCCACATTAGGTTGCCATTATACTGTAAAGGTAATTAAACTAGCAATATAATAGCTCCAACCGTGAGCTGTAATATCTTTTTTACTGTACGAGGAGCCAATTCAAGTTTATTATTTAAAGTAAATTTTGATGTTTGGAGACTGCTGTAATTCAGTATAATTCGAACTACAAAAAACTGATCTTTCTGAATTTATATAATTTGTCTGAACCTTTTGAATATTACTACTATAATATACTACAAACGAAATATTCTTAATATGATATATTTCTTTCCGTGACTATCATTGTCTCAACTATCAGAAATACCAATATTCCGTTGGAAAATTTTTATAAATTACATTGATTACAATGTAGATAATTAACTTATAACTGTCACTAATGTTTATGGTTACGTAAAAAAACAAAATTAACAGCCTATATACTTCCCACTGTTAGGCACAGGCCTTCTCTTATTTTAAGTGGGTTACCTAATCAATACAATTCATGAAGTACGTTTTTGTTTTCTTGAAGAACCAGTCTTTTAATTTTCGTAGTCATTTGTAGACCTTAATATATTTGTATGGTATAGATAAAATCTGAAGCATTCCCTTCTTAATCTTAGTCAAAGCATCATCTTGCAAATCACAATTTTCTCTTATCATACAATTTCTCACCCTGTCATTTAAATTCAGCCCTAACATGTCCTTAATGGGCGCACTTCTGTAGCGTTTATCCTACTTTCGTGCTTATTCTGCCACACCCAACTTTCACTGCTATACATTACAAAAAGTTAGGGACTTAAACAATATTGCGAATTGCCATACGTGCCTTGTTTAACACATTCTGACTTTCCACAATTGAGTTAGCCCCATTAGCTTTGTACGCTGCGTTCACTCGTCACACTATATCCTCATCATATCTGCTAAATACAGGTCCCAAACCAAAAAAATCCACTTGCTCTACCAACTTCCCTTATATTCTTATTTCACATATTATTTTACTTACGCCTTTAATATAGCTCACACAAGCATGTTCAGCAAACATTGCATTGACTCAATTAGGCCTCAGATACTGTCCAACAACGGTACTTTTTTTATAGGATAGGGTGACAAACGAGCACAAGTGCAGTCCACCTGATGGTAAGTGGTTGCTGTGACGCATAGACATCTACATCTATTCTCAATAAAGACTCAAAATGCAGATGCGTTGTCACCCGTGAGGACTAAGATGGAATACCTCTTTTCCAGTAAAAAGGGTCTCCGGTATTCTGTGAGAGCGCGATCCTATACCGGTCGAGTCGACCCGTTCGTCCTTCAAGCATGGTATAGCTGCAGCTTGGCTCTACCACGTAAATGATTATGTATAGACAGTGAATCCAATATTGAATGTGCTTGCTTATCCAGTATCTGTGTTTGCGTTTTTTCTTTATGAAATTAGCAATAATCAATTTTCTTTTCCTAGACGAATGTAATCCTCTCGTCCTGAACTCTCGTCATAGCTCGTCATTCTTCTTTCTTTACATATCCGATCAACTCAATAAACCAGCACAAGGAGGTCATTACTAACGTAGTTTTAGCTTATTTTTTGGTGGACGTGCAACGGTTTTCAAGGTTAGCTTAGCTAAGTCCACTGAGTTTTCACATAGTTTAGTTCGCGGTGGACGTTCGCCTGACATACGGATCATTTCAATCATTTACAGTAGAATATGTGAGTATTTGGGAATTATTTATTGTGACATGCAAGTGCCAATGGTTTTAGGTATGATTTGCATTCGCATTGCCACTGTATTGTCACTTACATTGGCACTTGCTTTGCCACTTGCACATGCTAAAATCTATTTATTTGGTTTAAATACATAAAAATAACAATAATAATTTTAATTTCATATACGTACATATAGAACAGAGTTTGGAAAAGGAAATTAAAAAACAAAATAAGTTGAAATTAGTATGTCATTTTATTATAACAACAATACAAATCACTATATGAGGAAAGTACTGTTATGATGTTTGTAAAATAACTTCAGCTGGAAACATATTATAAATATTCATAGATCAGTTCAATTTGATAATTATAATTATATACAGTATGTTTCTTATATTAATTGTATGTTGCTCTAAAAACGACTTAAAGAAGACCATTACAAGATGCGGTTGAGCAAAAACGTGAGGACTTGTTCAAGAATTCGGTTGATTCGGTCCTGCAAAGGAAAAATTTATATAAATATTTTACTGTAAAAACTTTAAATGGTTTGTCTTTACCAATATCATAATATTATTATAACTGTGCTATAAAAAATTATGACCACAATCGAAGAATGGGGTGTCATAGTCGACTAAGGTACTTAAATGATTTTAGCAATTGACGAATGGCAGAATGTTCTAATTCTATAAAATACATAGGTAAATATTGCCTATGTATTACTGCCTACAAATTGTGCCTAGTTTATAGTAAATCTTCACCTTTAAATCAGCCTCCGTTTAACACAGTAAACTGACAAAAATCGCTTGCTTCAGAGAAATAGGATATTGGTAATATTTACAAAGTCTTTAAACTAAAATATAGAGCATTTTAAAAACATGTAAATCTTACCGCGTTGTTGTTGAGGATAGTGGGAAGGGACTTGTTCAGGAAGTTGTTGACGTAGCCGGACAAGTCGTAGCCAATAATGTTCACGTGAATGCCGGACTAAAAATGTAGAAGATTTATTTTAATTATTAAAAAATTTGAAATAAAAATAAACAGGTAAACACTTTTATAGAACTAAGAATCAAATAAATTTACATTACCTCAATGCCACCAAGACTAGTTGAGATTACAACGTCACTAACGGAAGCTTTAGACCTATCATCAACTTCAACATTGAGTTCGCCGGAGATACGAAGACCAGTAACAGCGAGCCTAGAAAGTATACACGTTCCTTTAACTTTGCATTAAGATTTCGTTATATTAATACATACTTGTTATAGTTCTGAATTTTAAATTTAAAAAAAATATGAATATTTATTTAAAACAAGGGATCTGACTATTGTTAACTAATATATCTATTGTTACAGATATAATAATATATGATAAACTTCATATTCGTAAGGTATTGACACATTATATTTGCCATGTTCATTTATATATATATATATATATACTGGTGTCATATTTTCAATTCGTTACCAATCAAAAACATCACCCTTCTTTTTAGCACTGCAGGGGTCAGATAAAAAAAGTTTGATTTATTTCATGACATATTATAGTTTTGTGTCAAAAGTATATCTATCATTGTGTATGTATAACTGTGCATACCTGCCATCCAAGAAACCACGATGACTGGGACGTCCAAGGAAAGCCACTTCAGCCTCAGCTCGTCCTGTGGCACAAATGTTACATAGGATGAACAATCAGTACATAAAAATAAAATGTACAATAATGGATACAAAGTGTAAATGGCCTTACCAATGGATACACGAATTTCAGGAATAGCTACGGCAAAAGTAAGCTTGTTAGTCATGACCGAATAACCAATGTCTTCAACCACAATGTTGCTGGCGCCAGTGACTATTAGATCTTCAATTGAAGCTCTAGCCCTAAATACTCTGTGCAAATACAATGTTAGTACATTAATATTTTATAAAAAAACATAAATTAAATAAGAGCCTTTGTAGGCTACACTTTTAAGGTTAACTCTTTAATTTTTAGAAAATTTTCCATCGCACTCCCCGCTCCCAACAATATTTGGCGAAAAACGAACTGTTTCTTATTATTTATGATTTTTATACTTTAAATTAAAAAATGCAAAATGGAGAACAAAATATAACATTTTATTTATTTAGGCGTATAATTAATAAAATAGAAAAGTTAATTTAGTGGCAACATGTAAACAAAACTATAACAAAAATTAGTTTTACTTATTTACACTGAAGTTATTTTAAAATATTAATATAAAGATTTGTTATATACTACATAAAATATAAAAATGACACATATTATTTATTGTCCTCATTAGAGATAAATTAGTGTTTAAATTATTGACGTACATACGAGTAGACCTCCCCTAAGTCATACCACAAAGCCCGGTCCTGAGCCACCTACATTCATCGGTTTCTTGCGTCTCTTACCAGGTCATCACCCCATCTATTAGGGGGTCCTCTATATGTACTCGTAAATATTTTTTTCTTCTTTTATAGGATAAGGTGACAAACAAACACAGAGTCCATCTGATGGTAAGTGGTTGCTGTGACCCATAGACATCTACATTTATCCTCAAATAAAGAATCAAAATGAAGATGCGTCGTCACCCGTGAGGACTAAGATGGAATTCCTCTTTTCCAGTAAAATAGGTCTCCGGTTCCCTACACTCACCATACGAAACACAGCAGTGTCAAGCTGCCATTTTACGCTGGTATTCTATGAGAGCGTGGTCCTTCCCCGGTCGAGGCGACCCATTCGTGCTACAACTATACTACTAATATAGCTGTAGCATGGCTCTACCACGTACAAGTTTTCTTCTATAATGTTTTTATATAACAGTAATGAGGTAATGAGCAATATTTTTATATCATTATCTTCTTCCACAACAACATCATCTTCATTACAATCCATCGAATATCCTCTGCCGATAATAATAGGCCTCCACAAAGATACAAGTGCTACAAGCACTATTGTTGGACGATGCCCTACGATGCACTACTTTTCTTCCGTTTTAAAATTAGTTATGTAAAATTTTATATTCAGTCTTGAAATCATTTTATATAGAACAGGGGTGAAAGCTGAGCACACAGTATGCCTGATGGTAAGTAGATGCTATGACCCATAGACATTTACATCTATCCCCAGTTAAGAATCAAAATGCAGATGTATTCCCACCTATGAGGTCTAATATAGATTATCTTGTTTCCAGTAAAAAGGTTCTCCGGTTATCTACATTTACCATACGTAACACAGCAGCCATAGGCTTATGTTTTAAGTATTCTGTGTTAGCGTGGTCCTGGCCTTATTGAGCCGACCTTTTCGTATTACAGTTAGAATATTGCTGCAGCATGGCTCTTACACTTATAAAAACAAATTAATAATTATTTCTTTACCCAGGAATAGGGAATCTATAAGAGCCTTCGGCCTTCTCAAGAACGTAAGGGTCATAGCCATCCTGAATCTTCTCGCGTACTTTATCAATTACGTCAAGAATAACTTCGACTACATCTCTTCTCTGATTCAAATCTGAAACAAAATAAATTTCTGGTAATGATTTCAACTCATCTTAAATTTAATTGCAATTGGATTTTCAGTACAAATGTAATTTGCTTACCAGAAACCTGAGGCAGGGCACTGGCGCTAGCCAGGATCATCAAAGCGGCAAAGGCAATGGTCTTCATTTTGAATTACCTGAAAAAACTTCGATGATTATTTGATGGGAAAAGAACAATAATTTCATTTGGATATGTAAAAGGCTACTAAATATTTAAGATGAATCTAGTTATGCAGTTAAAATATAATACGTAAATTTAAAAATTATATATTTTACATTATTTGAACGTTAGAAAATATTAGTTATTTGCTTCCTATTTTACAAGACATGTATTAGTAGCGCATTTTTTTTTGAATAATTTTTATTTGGATCTATGAATTCTGTTCGTAAATAGTATGTAAAATAAAGTAACGGTGCACATATAATGTTTATAATATTTTCTAATACTGCAAGCAATGGACTTCTTTTATTTCTGAAATTGTTCCCTAACGTTGCAAATTTAAAATTCCAATTAAAATTTAATTGATAGAAACGGGGGTCGGAACTCGGTGTTTCTCACGTACTGTGAAATATTACGACAAGCTTTTTCCCCTGAGCTATAATTTTTTTATAAAAATAAAACACTAATTTGCTTACCTTCCTTCGAGTGAAGATAAGTAACTGAAATCAGCAACACCTATTTATATTGCAATGAAAAGTAAGATAAGGGCGAGGGTATGATAAATTAGTCATTAATCTGGACCCGGATTACCTAAAGCTCAATTATTATCAGTGCGTTTCACATAATGCAATTTTGTTTTCTGTTAATGATATTTTGGGTATGCCGTGGTAATTCAGAGTGTAAACGCTCGCTGAAACTTTACAATACACGAATAATTCGGGTTGGATCCTGACCACCACTAATTAAAATTTTAATTGCAATTTTACTTGCTGATCTACCACGTGCTCGGCGGTGAAGGCAAACATCGTGAAGACATCTGCGTGTCTCAGAAAAAAAATAATTTGAAGACATACAAAGTTCACCAATGCGGTGGGCTAAACTTTATAGCCCTTTAAGAAATCAGAGGAGACATGACCAGCAGCGGGACCTGTTAGTGCTGTAACTTAGTCACTTTAACTTTACTTATAAAGTAAATAAAAAATAATTCTTTCTTACCTATTATGAGCCACTGCTTGACTACAATCCCATCTGGTAGTGAGTGATGATGAAGAGTTAGATGGTTATACGCACTGTCTTAGCGTAACAAAAGACTACTCACTCTTTTTTTTTATTATAGAAGAGTCTTGCCTCGAAGACTGCTTGCATTAGGACGGAAAGACACAAATTATTCCACTCCTTTGCAATACGCATTACCAAAGACGAAGCAAACTGTTTGGTTTGAACGCGTGAAATATCGATAACAAAGGAGTGAAGGCCATCCAACCACCTGGTTTTTCAATGGTGGAAACGGAGAGAGGAATTAAAGCATGTAATTCTTAAGCATGCTGTGCATATTTGTTTCTCTCACACTATAAACGTAGTAGAGCCACGCTGCAGCTATATTAGTTGTAGCACGAATGGGTCGGCTCGACGTAAAATAGCAGCTTAAGGCTGCTGTGTTATGTATGGTGAGTGTAGAGAACCGGAGACCTTTTTTACTGGATTTTTAGGCCTTCCATCATAGTCCTCAGAGGTAACAAAAAAAGTGTTTAGCCTTAGTTAGTATAGTAACTATTTTATAGCCCGAAAACTTTACTGCTGTATTTGCCATGCCAAAGGTGGATTGGATCTGCTCTCCGCTCTCTGCCGTTAGACTGGGCATTTTACGTTCATTGAAATTAATAAACAATTATCTGCCATTTATCGGAAATCATAAGAAGCTTTAGTATTCACCATTTTCTTCGACAACCACGACAGTACGATATAGTAGGGTATTAGATTCTCTAATTCCTACACCACACGGCAAAACTCTCTGTATACTTAAAAGAATTCACTACGAGAAATCATCCAGGTAATCGTTCAAATTGGTTTCAACCGCAAGGTTCCATACTGTAAAATTGTTGCTAATGATTTTTCTGACACTTTTCTTGACGGTTCTATCGAGTATCCTTTGTAAAAGATCGCAAAGCAGCGATGATCATGTATGACATCTCGATGGCGCAATGTCTGAATGATCAATTATTTCGTATGAGCTACAAATAATCGTGCCGGATTTGGATGTTTTCAATGTGCATACTGTTTATGTAAAATTCACTCACGATACAGTAAAAAAATCTAGTGTGTAACGTTTATCCAGTCTGTAACGTTTACCCAACTCAACCATCACTCATCTATTCTTGTATTTTGATTCATTTTATCACATTTTTTTCAATGCAATTCAATTTATTTATTTCTTCGCAACTTACTGGCTGGTTAACAATAAAGATGTACATAGTAAGGACCTAGCGTTGTGAGAGACTGGTGCCTATTATAGGTTTTATATTAAAAACCTGAGTTACAGGTCACCAGGCCGTAATTGTTTATTTATAATAAAAAATTACTACGATTATTTGTGAAAAACGTTATTGGTATTCGATTCTCGAATATAGACATCGTCCAGACCCACACCGTCATCATTTTCATTCATCATATATATCTCACAGTCGCTTTGAGTTAAAGAGATAAAGACAGCACAAGAGTTAAACACATCTTAAAATTGAGTATTGTTTTAGTACGAGTATTTGGACAATAATGTATCATTTAAATTTCAAAATAGGTCCAGGTTCTAACCTGCCTAAATAAAAATAAGAATTCATCGGCCGATATCATCCGCCATGTGTTGAAAATGCGAAAAATATCTTACTGCTTCCAACCGTCTCAAAGGTGCGAGTATTGTTTTCGTCAATCCACCTGCCAAGCGAGACGAGACTAATCTTCCATATAGCGGGAGACGCTCATGTCCAGCAGTGGACTTTAAACGCTTGCGAATAAGAAATTAAAAAAAAAAACACTTCTTTCAAAATCTAGACTAAAGGCTTTCAAAATTCACTGCTCAACTTAGACCTCCCGCATTGTTTGCCTCAGGGAGGTTGTTGTCACTGTTGACACGCTTAACAGGTAAGTTGGCAAATGCAGGTCTTAATTATCAACTTTTATTTTTAGTGTTTATTATTATTATTTTAGATTAACAAACGAGCGCACAGTCCACATGATGGTAAGTGGTTGCTGTGGCCCATAGACATCTACATTTATCCTCGTTTGCGAATCAAAATGCAGACGCGATTCCGTCTTAGTTCTCACGCTGTAAGGACGAAGATAGAATGCCTCTTTTCCAGTAAAAAGGGTCTCCGGTTCTCTAAACTCACCATACGAAACACAGCAGTGTTAAGCTACTATTTTACGCTGGTTATTCTGTGAGAGCGTGGTCCTTCCCCGGTCGAGACGACCCATTCGTGTTACAACCATACTACTAATATAACTGCAGCATGGCTCTACCACTTATAAAAATTTATTATCTGTAAGATACTGCTGCTCATCTCCTGTTTTAGTTTCCCTCTGTCACCTCTTATGAAACCTACTGATACTGATACTGTAACGCCGCCGCATAGTAACGGCATCAGAGAATACACCACACCGTATCATAATTAATTACATAACATTCGATTATGTTGGCCAACATCTGGTGCACGACAAGTTTAAAGTTGATTAAATTTTTATCTAAATTAATAATCCGCTTAATATGTTACTCTGTAGGTGGTATAAATCGAACGATTGTAAAGATTAAGAAAATGGCATATTTAGATAATGAGTGGTAAAAACATAGCTTGGTTGAAAATAATTTTTTTTAAGAAACAAGCGCACAATCCACCTAATAGTAAGTGTTTGCTGTGTTCCATAGAAATCAACATCTATCCTCGACTACGAATCAAAATTCAGATGCGTTGTCACCCGTGAGGGCTAAGATGGAATGCCTCGTTTCTAGTAAGAGGGGTCTCTGATTCTCAACACTAACCATACGAAACACAACAGCATTAAGCTGCTATTTTACTCTGATATTCCGTGCGAGTGTGGTCCTTCCCCGGTCGAGCCGACCCATTCGTGTTATAACCATAATATAGCTGCAGCCTAGCTCTACCACGTATGGCAATAGTGACAAGGACATAATTTCCTCCATGTGCAAACCAGGTTTTTGAATTAAACCACAGTAACATATAAGATATTATAACAAAAGTGCAAGGTTTGTGTAATCAACCTTACTCAATATTCTTGTACTATCTACAACTATAACTTTACATTTAAATTTATTGTCTGTAACAATAAAGCCAATATCTCCTTGCTTCCAAGTTTTCATTAAGTTTCCCAATAGCAATGTCAAAGTTACAGATGTCTGATTGCACTTAGAGCTGAAGATCATTCGTGTACAGATGGTACTAGAAATTAATATTTGTAGTTTTGGAATTTATAAATAGAGAACAATTCGAAACAAGTAATAATGTCAACTCAAACGGAAAACTGCAGGAGTCTGTCTGAAGTCTGATTTATTAAATGATGATCTAATTAAACTACAATATCACGTCCTTTATTGAAATCAGAGCATTTTTGCCATGACCTTGACATCATGAAATAAGAGGATTATTTGTAAATATTAAAAAAACTTAAAAATAAGATAAATGAAAGTAATCTTACTAATCGCGATGTAATTCGTAGATTACCTCATAATTCATATTATATAATACGTTTTACCTACAATGTATGTTAATTACGATAAGTGTATCGAAACATATGTATTGTTTTTTATTATTTTAAAAAATAAAGTTTACAAGTCACACAGTCAACCTGATGGTAAGTGGATGCTGTGGCCCATAGACATCTACATCTATACTCGATTAACAATCAAAATGCAGACGCTTTGTCCCCCTTGAAGACTAAAATTGAGTAACAACCAGTAAAAAGGTCTCATGTTCTAGCGATATGCTATATACTTACTATAATTAGCACAGTAGTATTGTTCTACTTACACGTTGGTATTTTGTGACAGTTAGGTCCTACCCCGGCCGAGCCGACCTATTCGAGATACAGCCATAATATGGTTTCAGCGTGGCTCTACCACGTATGATAATTGCATTATAATATTGTAACAACTTTAATTGCCGAAAAAAGTAAAAAAT